ACAACTAAACCCTGATGAAAATAAATATTATCTTCTCACTCCATATCCCACATTAATGCAATCACTCAAAAAATTTTCACCAGAAAGCATTCGCGCTATTGCTCGAAACCCAAATATAGACTTACAATCAATAGGAATCTATTCAAAATCAGATATTCAACATCACATTAGAACACAACAATTCCAAGAATTATTAACACAAATGGACACTATACAAAGACAATCAATAGACCAAAATTTACGCAAACTTGCAGAAACCGCAGGATTTGCCGATATCTACACGCAAGACTATAGCGGATATTTTAAAGACATTAAAGATTATATATATCTAAACGGTGAAAAATACCGTCCCCAAGATATATCACCAATTAACATTTTTAGCTTTGTTACACTCAAAAATGAGATCCTCGATTTTCTAGGATGGCCCTACTACATCTTAGAAAAATTGACTATTTTATACGCAATGTTTAACTTTATTGGATTTCTTTTCTCACTTTTAAAAGGAATCTACAACACATGTGCTATACACACACAAGTAAACAGACAAGCAAGCGTAGCACGCATACTCTTTGCAGGATTTTTTGGAATCTTTTCTACATCTATAAACAAAATTCTTTTAGACGCACAAATAAAAGAATATAACACAAAAATAGCAACACGACAAAATACATACGACGAAGAACATAACAATGTAGACATAACGCCAACGGCACCACAATTACCACCCCTACCAAATAACCATCCACTATCCCTAGCCCCACGAAATTTTCAAAATTTAGCCATCACACATAATCCAAATTTTCGACTCACCACATCACAAAGTCCCATCCAACATATAATGACACACCAGTCACAAAATGATAATACTTATGAACAAATTATTGAACAACCCCATACCACCGCTTTTCAGTCTCAAAATAATCATTTTTTTAGCCCACGATGAGCCGCCAACTTGGATCACTACACCGATCAAATTCCCACCCAACCAATCTTACCTCTCCAATCCCAATAATACCACTTTTTGCTTTTCCGCCACCCGATTTTCCATCTAGTAATGTAACATCAGGCATGAATTCCGACACTAATTCACACATCTCAGTTTTATATTCCATCTCACAACTCAATAACCCGAATATTGAAACCCCCGATGAATTTGCCGACACAGAACCATCCCCATCCAATAATTTTCATAACTCTTCTAATTTTTCTCAACCCCCTTTTCAACCCATATTATCCAATAACCCTGACCCAATCACTTCCACACCCTCTTATGCTTCCCAAGTTACCCCAACCTACTCCTCACTTCATTCTGACCAATCATCTCATTCTCCAGACACCCCCCGAATTTCCCCAGAGCTAGATAATTTTATTACCCTTCAACAACAACCCTACCACCTCCATACCCCAACAATAAACCAAATCTCCTCCACAATAAATTCATCCAACCCCCCTACCCCTACACCCTCTTCAAATTATACTGAATCATTAGCACCATCATCCACATCAACTGAATCTTCACTCAACACTAATAGAGCTTACCGCACTTTTAAAAGAAAGTTCCCCAACCATCCTTTCCCAGCAAAACCAGGAACAGCCCGTGAATACATCAACCACCCCAAGCATACTAACACAAAAGAATTTTTAGCCATCACCTTACCCTCATTCCCACAATACACCTTAAACACCCCCCACGACACTAACGAAACACGCAACTTTGTAGATGAATACGTTTTAATGCCCACTCTCTCTTGGACCTCATATTATCATTTTACTAACCCTCTTTGCTTACCTTTATCTAACACTCACATCGATATAGAGCGAAATACGGACATGCTATATCGACTCACTACACCACTAACCGCTAGACAATTTACTTACGTTGGATATAAAAAATCACTAAAAACACACACTGCACCTAGAGCTAACGAATACACACTCGAATACTATGATCACAACATCATCAGAGCTAACCAAGATCAATTCTTAGACGACGATCGCTTCGCTAATCCACAAATTACCGAGAAATTTTTCATCAAGACACCATATATATTTACACTAAACATCTTCGACCGAAAGTTTGATCACATTATTTCAGAAGCACTAACAGACACACAAGCATACGAAAGTTTTAAAGAACGCTTCCAAATATTTTCACTAACCTTTCATTTCCTTGCACCACACGAAAGAGATTTACACTGCTCACACGATATTATGTTGCGCACTAAACAAACCCACACATATAGTTATTATCGCTTCATCCAAAATCACTTTGACCTACACACACCCTCTAGACAACCACACCATCGCTTTCAATTCATTAATTCCAAATACACTTCACCATTTTTCCTAAATTTCACATATTGCATTAAAGATACTAACCTTCATGGTATTCTTCGCAATTATGATCCCATAACCCAAATGTACATCTTCTGTCCCATCACCAAGACCTTCAACGCCGAAGAATCCCGACCCTTCCTTATCCCGCACGAGTTTGTACAACCTATAGAAATCCCAATTTTAGAATTCATCCACAACACTAAATTCAATCACAAATTATATAATCTAATCCAAAACACACCTTATGAGTTTGCAGTTGGCACTGAAGAACTAACCACTATTAAGGCACTTCAATTGCTTTGGCCACTGCTTCAGACTAAAAATATCATCCGCATCTTAGCTAAACTACTAACAACTTCAGAACTAATTCACGACATCTTCCCCCACGGTTTTTTCCCCGACGACTAACAGGTAAGTATGAATTAAATGAATATTACTAACTAATTACAATATTAAAAAACTCACCATACTTTATCCATGTTTTCCTTAGATTTTTAGCCTTCATCCGACGATCACCTACAAAAACCACAAAAAACAAATAAAGATCGCAAATTTCATCAAACAGATTTCAACAATTCTATTAATCTCTTACACTTATAAATTTATAAATTTAATACCAAAGCAGTAAATTCATTTCTAAAATTTTCCCCACAAGCAGTAAATCTAATTATGATGAAAATTTGTAACTTAAAATTCCCCCATAACTAGCAGTAAATTTCCAAATTCTATGCAGTAAATTAATAAAATGCAAATGCAGTACTAACTTTTTGATATTCTCATTCATTCGCACAGAAATTCTATCCACACTCGCACAGCTCGCCCACGAAGAATTGTTTAAAATAATGAATTTCAGTTTCAAGTTTTCACACTCAACAACTCTAACATATAATAACATGTTTCAAACTTTCCTTTAACCCGGTTGGAAAGGAATCATATACTAAACAAAACTAACCAACGCAGCTTACTAAATACCGCAAATCATAGAATAACAGCATGACTAAGAAAAGGAAACCAACGGTACCCAAACCGGATTAACCCAGTTTAAAACTGGATAATTTATTCTTTTGAAGACTATTATAAAGTCTAAGAAAGAAATAATAAAACACAAAAAAGTCGAAAGACAAACCCATACCACGAACAATTTGTTTTTTGGAAAAAGGACATAACCAACAAGACATAAGAAAAACCACAACAAACCCAACATAAAACGTTGTCACATAACAGGACCCCTCACAAAAACCGCATGAAATCATACTCCCACTCCTGGCCTAACCCACCAGGAAGGACGTCCTGAGCATGCTCTATAGCCGGCCTAACCCACCGCGCTACATCCACGCTTTGTGACCACACCTCTATTTTTAATAAGAGCTACTCAAGTGTGAGTAACTCTTCAAAATAACCGAACTAAAACAAAAAGCTTTTGTGAAAACAACTAACTAAAATCATAATTAAAAAATATTAAACTAATAAATGTTTTATAAAATGTAAATTACATTATGCAATACATAGATCAGAATACAACACCAAGGACGAACATCTAAAGACAAAACGACCCCACTACGCTCGAGAGAGAATGGCCAACCACAATCGATATGCAACTCACAATCACAACTCAAAGGATTTAGAGTACGACTTGACTTCGCAGAAAAGGACTTCATTGAACTAGACCAATGACCACCTCGATGTTCAAGTATACGTACAGATCCGAGTAACCAGGCATCCCCTCACGCACAATCTCCACGCCATTCCCAAATTAGATCAGACACAAAAGAAGTTCTCCACGCAGAACAAAAACCTGACATAGCAAACCATTCTGAAATCAGATTTGAGTTTGTTGCAAAGACTTAGTCGTTGTCACTAGAAGACACAACGTCTTATGTCTCTAACTCCAGCTTCCTGGAACTTCTTTAACAAAGAGGAAACAGAAGAAATAAGATGTTCGCCAAACACCAACGTCCATCATCCATCCTTCGAATTGCAGAAGAACTATTCTAAAAAACTCTGTAAAACCCGGATGGGTGGAACCTGATCTAGACTACATTTTATGATTGGATAATTTAGATATTTTACCAATGTAAAGTATTTAATATTAACCAATCATGATCCATCTAACTAACAACCCACTTATTTGTAAGTGCTGAAGTTACTTGTAATTTCAGCACCAGAGAGATTTGAATTTAACTTAGAAATTAGTTGGACTCTCCCGAGCACTTCAGCAGCCGCAATAAACCAGTATACCCTAGATCTATTGAGCCTAGCAGAGACTAGTTAAACAACCTGAGACTAGATAGTATAAGAGTAAGATTAGGATCGGTATTAGACTAAGAAGTTGCACGAATCTATCCGGCCGAAAATAAGATAGCGTGACGAGCAGACGGTGTACCCTATCCGAAATTACTCTATGAGTTAACCAACTCGGTCATAACTCAATATCACTATCACAGTCGATAGACTTTAGATCGACTGTGATAGTGATATTCGATTAAATTGTACCATTTCACACCAGTGGAATCTAACGAGATGCAAAATAATTAAACTTTAACTCTTTAGGTTAACAAAGATAGCGGATGGCTGTGCAAGTAGCACGGAATGTTCCGACCACAAAGATTTACGTTAATTATTAAAAAACCTAAAAAATTGCAAACAAGTTGAATTTTGTGCTTTCAAGTTTTTGTCTGGAAAACGGAAGAACTCGGACCAGTTGTTGTCGACATTGAGCAGACTAGACTCATCAACAAATAACGGAATCCAAATTACAGCCGAAAAGGTTTTAATATAATACCACACTAGATCTTCTATGAGCTTAACTTTGAAGTTATCAAAATCGGGAGAGAAAAGTACCCTATGATATAGATCCTTCCCTTCCCTTCGTGAAGTGGTCGGAACAATAATTTGGTCACTAAATGATTCAAAATAGCGCATTAGTGATCGGAATTAAAAGTTGAGAGCTAGTTGTCGTAATATTTGTAACATTTAAATTGTCGTGATGTTCATCAGATGTAACAAAGGCCAAAATGATATTCTTCATTGACAAAACTGATCCAACAACACAGCCACAAGTTCCAACGACCAATAACATCACTATGAATACTCTGTATAGACACTTTCGGCCAAATGATATTTTCTTATTGCTGTGCAAAGAGAACTCAAAAATGATTGCAGGTAATGTCATTGCCAAAGAAGAGCTGGCTAGAGATCCCAGAAGTTCAATGAACAGATTGAGCTTCGGAACAATAATTGCTGCTAGAAACGTTACAGCGATCAAAGATAGTCGGAATAAATAATCTCTGAGAGTCCCATTGCTGTTTGGGAATTTTTCTTTGACCCATGGCATCAAAATTCGGACAGGAACCAAAAATTGAAGAGCGTAAGATACGTACATCGCGACTGCAAACAAAATTTTGGTCAAAGAACAGTACCAATTATTCGGCAAGTTCAAAGAAATCGAAGCCTCAATATCGTCGCCATATTTATCGTATCCCAGAAAACCGAAGGTCAAGCAAAGCATGAACACAAAAATCATCCCGAAATTGAGCACACGCTTGAAGTGTTCGGGCTTCTGCATTTTGTTTTCAAGAGGAAGCACAACTCCTATTCCTTCGACGGTGTAAACGGCTGCTCCGAAAAAGAGCGGCAGGTTCGCAAAGGGTTTGAATGCTGGAAGTTCTCTTGGCTCTTCGACGTTGGTGAGTAGCTCATAAATTATGACTCCAAGTCCAAACGCGAGAAGCAAATTTGCGAGGGAAGAGAACACCGCAAGTAATGCTAAAACAGAAAGTTGATTTTTCAGTAGATTTCCATGAAAATGTATATTTTTTACACGAGCTTTCAGAACACTAAAAATTTTCCAGCTGCATTTCATTCTCAATAAGTATTTTAGAGGAAAAAGCCTGATGACAAGTTTTTTTTTTTTCATTAAGAAAACATATATTTGGAAAACTTACCCAAATTTCTAATCAAACAAAGCATAACAACTGGTACGAAAAACATGCAAATCAGGACTCTATCGCTGAAGGGGTTGTGTATGTCGAAATCCGTCAGAACAGAATCCACAGTCTGGGCAAAAAATACAAAATAAACTGCACAGAACCCCAGTTGAGTCATAACTAACAGTGTATTTATAACTCGTTTAGCGATATGACAATGGCTTTGAAGAAATTCAAAAGGTCCATGACGTAACACGCTCTCGGCAAGCTCGCCATAGTCCATATAAGGTCTCTCTTCGACCTTGCACATGTGGCGACACGCATCCAGGAGGAAATTCATAGCCACGAGGGCCATACAAGCGATGAAGCCCATGAATAGTGGTCCAGCAACTATGCCCACGAGAGAGAAGGCAAAGGGAAGAGCCAGTAGCCCAGTTCCTATCATGCTCTAAACATTTTAAGAAATCAAAAATCAACACATAAGTTTTTTTATCATAGTTAAATCCAGTTAGATGAAGCTCAAACCACTACTCTTGGCAAAAATATTTTTGATATTTTAATTTTTCGCGTAACGCAAATGACCAAATTTGAAAGCTTTTTTGAAATCAGTCAAATCAGTCAAAATTGCGGGGAAAATGGAATGCTTGCCACTTTATATAGAAACAGTATCTAAAACTTGATCAATTGATATTCACCTCTTTGATTATTAGATTTGTTGGGTGCAAAAAAATAAGAGTGCTGATTTTGATGGAGTTACTAGCCTTGAGCAGATGAGCCATGCACTGATACCATGTGATCAAGTTGTCCCCAGTGCGCTCTTCCCCCAAAACAGACACAAAACTGCCCCTGGTCAACACACTTCCTGCAGAATCCAGCCTTCTACGTCTGTAAGGCGGGTCATGTTCTGGTATTTCGGCTATGTGAGTGTCGGATATCTGGGCATATGAGGCAAGTTTCGGCATGGTAGATGAGGCATTGAATTTGTGCTGAGATGTCCAAAGAGTGTTTCTGCAGAAGAGTAAATTAACATTGGAGTAATAAAACATTCTGGCATCATTTTCAGAAAGTCAGGTTCTAACATTGACTCACAGTCTTTCAAACAATTTTTGTTGTTAATCGCAAACAGCACCCGAGCGAATCGATGTGATTATCTTTTCTCCCGAATAAAACTTCAACTACCTGCGGTTGAAATCTGCGAGAAAAAAATCAAAAATTTTACGAACTGTCAAAAAAAGGTGGTTTTTTTATGGCCTCACGAGATCTAGTTAGTGACATAGTCTGCAAGCCTGCAAATGAGCGCGAGAAAAAAAATATCGAAAATTGAAACCTCTTTTAAATGAAAACAACTTACAACGATTAAATTACAGCTATATCATCTCCTACCACGCAGAACGGATTATGCCGCGGATACGCTGCGACCCAGAAACGCTGGAGTTATGAAGACTAAAATTGGAAAAACAACTCTGTATTTTCCCTTCGAGAGTTTTAACAGGAGTGGTCACTTAAAATTGTAAATATGTATTGGATGTATTATCCGATATAGATAAAAGTTTTGTTGTTGTTGTTGTTGTTGTTGTTGTTGTTAAACGAAGCTCAAGTCAATTATTAACACAGAGGCCAAGCTGAGCTTCGCACCACTTGCATTACAAAACAAGAAAGTCGCTGATCAGAAAAAAAATTAAAAAAATTCTGATTAATCTGGATCATCGCCGATTCTCGCACTTTTGGGCATGTTTTTTCAAAACTTTGCCTGCGGCGCAGAAGATTTGGCCTAGACAGTATCTTTTTACTGCTTTGGCAGAGATTGGAAAATCCTTTTTTTTTCCAATCTTATCCTTTCTTTTTATCATATCACTATCACAGTCGATAGACTTTAGATCAACTGTGATAGTGATATTCGATTAAATTGTACCATTTCACACCAGTGGAATCTAACGAGATGCAAAATAATTAAACTTTAACTCTTTAGGTTAACAAAGATAGCGGATGGCTGTGCAAGTAGCACGGAATGTTCCGACCACAAAGATTTACGTTAATTATTAAAAAACCTAAAAAATTGCAAACAAGTTGAATTTTGTGCTTTCAAGTTTTTGTCTGGAAAACGGAAGAACTCGGACCACTTGTTGTCGACATTGAGCAGACTAGACTCATCAACAAATAACGGAATCCAAATTACAGCCGAAAAGGTTTTAATATAATACCACACTTAATCTTCTACGAGCTTAAGTTTGAAGTTATCAAAATCGGGCGAGAAAAGTACCCTATGATATAGATCCTTCCCTTCCCTTCGTGAAGTGGTCGGAACAATAATTTGGTCACTAAATGATTCAAAATAGCGCATTAGTGATCGGAATTAAAAGTTGAGAGCTAGTTGTCGTAATATTTGTAATATTTAAATTGTCGTGATGTTCATCAGATGTAACAAAGGCCAAAATGATATTCTTCATTGACAAAACTGATCCAACAACACAGCCACAAGTTCCAACGACCAATAACATCACTATGAATACTCTGTATAGACACTTTCGGCCAAATGATATTTTCTTATTGCTGTGCAAAGAGAACTCAAAAATGATTGCAGGTAATGTCATTGCCAAAGAAGAGCTGGCTAGAGATCCCAGAAGTTCAATGAACAGATTGAGCTTCGGAACAATAATTGCTGCTAGAAACGTTACAGCGATCAAAGATAGTCGGAATAAATAATCTCTGAGAGTCCCATTGCTGTTTGGGAATTTTTCTTTGACCCATGGCATCAAAATTCGGACAGGAACCAAAAATTGAAGAGCGTAAGATACGTACATCGCGACTGCAAACAAAATTTTGGTCAAAGAACAGTACCAATTATTCGGCAAGTTCAAAGAAATCGAAGCCTCAATATCGTCGCCATATTTATCGTATCCCAGAAAACCGAAGGTCAAGCAAAGCATGAACACAAAAATCATCCCGAAATTGAGCACACGCTTGAAGTGTTCGGGCTTCTGCATTTTGTTTTCAAGAGGAAGCACAACTCCTATTCCTTCGACGGTGTAAACGGCTGCTCCGAAAAAGAGCGGCAGGTTCGCAAAGGGTTTGAATGCTGGAAGTTCTCTTGGCTCTTCGACGTTGGTGAGTAGCTCATAAATTATGACTCCAAGTCCAAACGCGAGAAGCAAATTTGCGAGGGAAGAGAACACCGCAAGTAATGCTAAAACAGAAAGTTGATTTTTCAGTAGATTTCCATGAAAATGTATATTTTTTACACGAGCTTTCAGAACACTAAAAATTTTCCAGCTGCATTTCATTCTCAATAAGTATTTTAGAGGAAAAAGCCTGATGACAAGTTTTTTTTTTTTCATTAAGAAAACATATATTTGGAAAACTTACCCAAATTTCTAATCAAACAAAGCATAACAACTGGTACGAAAAACATGCAAATCAGGACTCTATCGCTGAAGGGGTTGTGTATGTCGAAATCCGTCAGAACAGAATCCACAGTCTGGGCAAAAAATACAAAATAAACTGCACAGAACCCCAGTTGAGTCATAACTAACAGTGTATTTATAACTCGTTTAGCGATATGACAATGGCTTTGAAGAAATTCAAAAGGTCCATGACGTAACACGCTCTCGGCAAGCTCGCCATAGTCCATATAAGGTCTCTCTTCGACCTTGCACATGTGGCGACACGCATCCAGGAGGAAATTCATAGCCACGAGGGCCATACAAGCGATGAAGCCCATGAATAGTGGTCCAGCAACTATGCCCACGAGAGAGAAGGCAAAGGGAAGAGCCAGTAGCCCAGTTCCTATCATGCTCTAAACATTTTAAGAAATCAAAAATCAACACATAAGTTTTTTTATCATAGTTAAATCCAGTTAGATGAAGCTCAAACCACTACTCTTGGCAAAAATATTTTTGATATTTTAATTTTTCGCGTAACGCAAATGACCAAATTTGAAAGCTTTTTTGAAATCAGTCAAATCAGTCAAAATTGCGGGGAAAATGGAATGCTTGCCACTTTATATAGAAACAGTATCTAAAACTTGATCAATTGATATTCACCTCTTTGATTATTAGATTTGTTGGGTGCAAAAAAATAAGAGTGCTGATTTTGATGGAGTTACTAGCCTTGAGCAGATGAGCCATGCACTGATACCATGTGATCAAGTTGTCCCCAGTGCGCTCTTCCCCCAAAACAGACACAAAACTGCCCCTGGTCAACACACTTCCTGCAGAATCCAGCCTTCTACGTCTGTAAGGCGGGTCATGTTCTGGTATTTCGGCTATGTGAGTGTCGGATATCTGGGCATATGAGGCAAGTTTCGGCATGGTAGATGAGGCATTGAATTTGTGCTGAGATGTCCAAAGAGTGTTTCTGCAGAAGAGTAAATTAACATTGGAGTAATAAAACATTCTGGCATCATTTTCAGAAAGTCAGGTTCTAACATTGACTCACAGTCTTTCAAACAATTTTTGTTGTTAATCGCAAACAGCACCCGAGCGAATCGATGTGATTATCTTTTCTCCCGAATAAAACTTCAACTACCTGCGGTTGAAATCTGCGAGAAAAAAATCAAAAATTTTACGAACTGTCAAAAAAAGGTGGTTTTTTTATGGCCTCACGAGATCTAGTTAGTGACATAGTCTGCAAGCCTGCAAATGAGCGCGAGAAAAAAAATATCGAAAATTGAAACCTCTTTTAAATGAAAACAACTTACAACGATTAAATTACAGCTATATCATCTCCTACCACGCAGAACGGATTATGCCGCGGATACGCTGCGACCCAGAAACGCTGGAGTTATGAAGACTAAAATTGGAAAAACAACTCTGTATTTTCCCTTCGAGAGTTTTAACAGGAGTGGTCACTTAAAATTGTAAATATGTATTGGATGTATTATCCGATATAGATAAAAGTTTTGTTGTTGTTGTTGTTGTTGTTGTTGTTGTTGTTGTTGTTGTTGTTAAACGAAGCTCAAGTCAATTATTAACACAGAGGCCAAGCTGAGCTTCGCACCACTTGCATTACAAAACAAGAAAGTCGCTGATCAGAAAAAAAATAAAAAAAATTCTGATTATTCTGGATCATCGCCGATTCTCGCACTTTTGGGCATGTTTTTTCAAAACTTTGCCTGCGGCGCAGAAGATTTGGCCTAGACAGTATCTTTTTACTGCTTTGGCAGAGATCGGAAAATCAATTTATCTAAAAAAAAAATTGAATTTTTTTTTAAATGTTAAAATGAAAAATGGTAAAAGCCGTTCGGCCAAAAATGGATGTCGTAAACTAGTATCACAGGTGGGAGCTAATGGAGGTCAGAGGGTGGAATCCCCGAGGTAGGGGCCTCTTTCCAGGGGCGGATCTAGCATTTGTCGACCTTTTTTTTACGTCGACCAAATTGATTTTTCGAGTTCTCTCAAAGCACTAAAAAGACGCTGCTTTGGCCTATTTTCTGCGCACTTTTTGGAAAATTTTGACCAAAAAAATCACATTTTTTGGGCGCGCGCTCCCACCTCAAAATTAGTATGTCTATTCTCAACTCACCTTGTGGACTGGGACACAGACACACTGATTGACTGCGACTGTCCATTCTGATACAGACTAGTGACGTCATCATTGTCCTCGTCCTCAAATATCTCATCTTCATCACCCTCGTCTTCTTCGTTTTCTTCAATTATCACCTGATTCACGATAACTGTTGGCTCCAGTTGCCGTGTCGCTCCGTGGCCTATAGAGTATGGTTCTTCATCGTTCAGACCAGGTGTAATTAGTGGAGTGTTTTCATCCGACATGAGTTTTGCGTTTCCCTTTCAGCAAAGATGAATTAATTTTCTGTATTCTAAAAATAACAAGTTTGAAGAAAAAATTAAAGATGAAAGAGTTGAGCAATGAATAAACTGTGTTTTGAACTGGATGAGATCTGGTGGCTGAATTGGAGACTAATTCAGCAGTAAAAAGATCAACTTGAAAAAATCGGTCTGCTTCGGTTGCTGCGAGTAGCCGAATCCAACAAATGAATTTGATTCTTTTCTAAGTTATGGTGGTGATTGTACAAATACGATTACATTAACCCTAAAGTTCATGCTGACAGAAATGAACACCAAAATATATAACTTCCCATTTCAAAACTTTATTGTGACCACCGCTGTTAAACTGCTTGGAGTTGAAAAAAGTGTGAACCGGGCAATCGGGTTAATTATGGACATAGTATGTTCAAAACTTGTTTTTTTTTTAGCTAGATTTTTATACCTTATCACAAAACAAACGAACTGAATTTTTCTTCATTTGTTGATTGTTGGTTAAAATGCTCAATTAAATCAGATTCTCGAATCTAAATTAGTTTGAGCAATCAGCTGTGAGCTTAAAGAAGTCGACATACTTGCAGTGGAGAGAGGATATCAATAAAGGGCCACTTCACGGATAATATTTCGGAAGTTTACAACCAGAGTTTTGAAATCTAAAATTTTAACAGATAATTTGAGATTGATTTGATATGCTTTAAGGTTTTCGCAGATAATTAGAGATCGATTTGATGCTTAAATTGACCCAAAACTGAAGATACAAAAAATAAAACTGCGCGATGAGACGATAGAGCGCCACAGCCTATGAGATGTATATCTTGAAATAAATGACAAGCGAAACTCAACATCACACTACAATATCATTACCCGAAGTTGAATAACATGTATCTATATGGCTTACTGCAATCATTTGGTTCTTATCTTGACGGAATAAACCATGCTACATATCCATATCGAGGTATAAAATCAAATCAAATTACTTTGTATTTAAGCTGGTGACCTTTACTGAAACTTCTGTATTTAGACAGCCAACCGAGCCAATGAAACCTTGCTTCAAGTTGGGAGAAAAACCTTAAACCGTGTTTGCCTACACGAATGAAAAGGAAGCTGAAAAGGTCATTTAAAATAACAAGATAAATTGAGGAATGCGGAATGAAAAAATATATATTTTATGAGAAATGCAATTTTTTGGTTAAAATTTCCAAAAACTTTTTGGCCTGTTTTTTTCCAAACTTTTTCCTGCGGTGCAGAACAATTGGTCAAAACAGGGTCTTACCACAGATAATTTAAACAGGTCATTTAACAATTCCCTCCTTGTTTCTATTTTAAGATATAAATTTTTGGCTGACTGACCCAAAAATTTTTCTCCAAGTTGCCTTTAGCACCAATATATACTTGTTTCCAGGGGTGCAGGAGTGCCAAAAACACGCAGTTTTTTTGGTCAAAATTTTTCAAAAAGGGTCCAACAAAAATTGCATTTATAATGTTTTTTTTTCAAAAATTTGCCTGCAGTGCAGAAATTTTGATCAAAATAGGGCCTTAACAGTGTTCTGGGAGCGCTCAGAAAAGTGTATTTTGGCAGCTCTGCAAGCAGCCCATAAGATTCCAACCACTTTTAACTTTGTTGAATTAAGATAGAAATTGCACGAAAAAAAAACATTGTTGGAGATTTTTGGCGTAAATTTTTTTTCAGATTTTTGGCGTAAAGTTGGAGAGGAGAGGGGAAGTGATAGAGACGATCAAAAACTTCCAAACGTCTGATTGGTCAGAATTACATTTTTTAGACCAATGTTATTCTAAAATGTCTCCATAGTCAGAATTTGAAACCAGTTTTTCTCGACAAAGAGCAACATAACATTGTAATATTAAACTAAGATTGCCAAAAAGAAGCGATTATTTTTTCTTAGGTTAGTTTTAATTAGAAAATTATAATTTATTGATGGATGTAAAATGAATAACAACTGTTTGAGTTATAAAAATTTTCCGGTGATAATTGGTAAAATTTATAAAAATTAAAAAACACCACGAGTTATTAAGACTTAATTTCAGAACCAAGTGCTCTTGATTATTCCAGCGTTATCACATTGAATAATAAATGAGAACATAAGCAATAAGCTGCCTAGAACCAGTTTGAAAATCGTATCCAGAAAATGTCGTTTTTCAGAGGAAATCTTTCCAAACTAAGGCACATAATTGAAACAATATATAAATTTTTATTCCTCACAAAATAAACTCCTTAGGAATTCTTTTTTGTACCGACTTCCGAAGAAAGTGACGAAATATATGAGCCGGGGATAATTTTTTCGCCAGACGAATTCGGAATTTTAGACTAGCCATCTTGATGGAATTTTTTAGACCAGCCGCAAAGTTTTGATGTTTTGAGCTCATTTTAAAAAAGATATGTCACCTGTAATCATTTTTCTTAAAGTTGCGAGGTCAAAAACTGCCAACTTGGAGCATTTAACGCGTAATTTATTTCGCGTTCTTAGCGCGTAAGCCGATATTTAATCCTTAGAAATCGTTCTAAATTTGGCCAATTGGGGACAATTATTAACGCGTAAGCGGAGATTTAATCAGTAGAAATTGTTCCCAAATTCAGCATTTTTCCTAAAACAGACACTGTCCCATAGTTCTAAAAAAGCAGCCCAAACATTCAAAACTTCGCCCTGATACGCGCAGTTTGGTATCATTTTCGATTAGTCTCTTTTTTTCATCTCAAAACGAGTCGTCTACATTAGGATTAGCTGGTCCTCAATTTGACCATCAAAAAAACCAGTAAAGTGTTCTTTATGGGGGCAAAACGGCATAGGACATAACTTTATGTAGGGCAAGTTGGCATAAGTACAAGCTGCCGTGTAGTAGGGCAAATTAGTATAGAACAAGTTCACATAGGGCCATTTGACTTGGGACAAAAAGTCCTGACTTCTTTTCCTGGAATCGACAAAATATAATTTGGTCACATGAATCTGAGATTTGCCGGAGTTTTAGAATGAAAATTTGGTTGCTGAACAATAAGTAAATTGTTTTAAGGTTATATAATTTGTTAGTTTGAGTTAGTTTGATGCTTAGTTTCAGATATAGTCTTGGTTTAGGAAATTTATCCCGATAGATCATGTGAATATGTAGAATCAGATTTACTAACAAACAGTAGTGATAACAGATATAGAATGAAAAACACGCTCAGCGTGGTATTGACAAAAGAGGTTAACAGTGACCTTGGTTAATATAATTAGTGTCTTTTGCAGGATGACTGCAAAAGGACAAATAACTTACGAGGTACCGAAGGTCGCCTCAGGACATTCCCCGCGGGGAAAAACTTTGAAAAGCTTCAAAATTAAGGACAAATAAACTGCACCCGGACGAGCAAATGAATTGATAGCCCCCCTACCCCACACAATTGCGTACAGTAAAGCAAAATGATATCGTGAAAAAGTTTTAGCTAAAGTTTGAACGATTGAGCAAGTTTTTAAGAGTTTTTTTTCTTTCTTGGCGAATATGGTCAATCCGTGCCCGTGGTTTCCTTCCTGTGAGTGAACGCAGACGACGTCTGAGTTGAAGGTTGAGGCGGAAAACGATCGCGAATAAGTTGTTTCCGTGGTGAAGATTTGGACACAGTTGGCACATCTGAGGGCATAATCTGTTCCTCCGTGACTGGTATAAGAGGTGAAGCCAATGTCGTTGTAGATGGCAAAATTTGATCCTCCTCTACAAACTTTACCGAATGCCGCAACGGATCGCCGAAAAACTGAATTGGCGTTTTGCTACGGTGAGACGTCCTGACCGACTCTGCATCGTCAACCACTGGTTGAGCGGGTAGTGAAAGTGAAGGGTAGGAGGAAGGCAGATCTGATGACGCTGAATGAGAGGGGGGATTCAAATCTTTTGATACCTCCTTTTCCGGCGTTGAAACCATTATATCAGGACTAGATGTACTAACTTCAGGAGGCTCCATAGGACGATTAGACGAGGACGAAACAGCGCAATGTAGTGTCCCCGGTTGAGGCGAAACGAACGACCCGACTGGTTGTTGAGTAGAATCAATATTGCGCGAGTGAGTAGCATAAGTGGAAGAATGGGGCGTCGACGTCGAGGCAAACTGACGAGCAAATCGAACCGGATGCGAGTCACACTGAAACCTCTGGCGTTTTCCGGTAGTAACCGAATCTTGCGCCACCTGACGGTCGTTATTTGACCCAATTGAACTTTCACTGGAAGAGTCAGCAGTGAGATCCACCGTCGGAGTAAACAGAGGGGGATTGTTTGGCCGTTGTTCCAGTAACACAGGCTGCGACCGCGTGACAAGTCGTTTAGCCGCTCCTCGAGAAGTTGAGCCCGAAGCTTGGACGCGATCACCTATAGTGTTCGGAGCAACTAAAATGGCAGACTGATAATTAGGTTTGAGACAGATATGATTTTTCCGGTAGACTTTTCCCTTGTCGGTAATATAAGTATGATCCGTATCACGAACAATTATAAACTTGATTAGCTTATACAGAGGTTTCCCCGACTGGCGATCAATAATTTTCCTAAAGACTTTAACTCGACCAGGATCAGACAGTAGGTTTTCTAATTTACTTGTTCTCGAGAGACGAGTAGGTTGCACAACTGGTGCACGCCTGGAGCTGACTTGCGTCCCCGGAGGTGACGCAATTGCCGAGAAACGAAGAGTTTTGCTATTGAGATCGGATTTGAGAGAATGGGCGAGGTCCGAATGCCGGGTTGTGAGCTCCTTGAGTACCAATTTTCCTGCATCTGTGGGAAGATTCCGCCTGAATTGCGACCATTTATTTGCCGCCCGAGCAACGAAAACAAGGGCTCGAAGCGAGTTGGAATAATTGGACTGGAACTGCCGCGAGGAACAATTTTTGCCCTGTCCCGGCTGTAGTCGTTGCTGGCGATCTGATCTGGTGTAAGGAGGTTGCGCTCCAATCCTTGGGCTAAAGTATCAGATTGAACAACATTATTACGTGCCTGAGACCATACAGTATTAGGTTTACGACCAAAATGCAATTCAAAAGGCGATTTCTTAAGCACCGAATGATTACTCTTGCGAATATCTTCAAGTATTTGATGAATCGTATCCTTAAGTTTTTTGAAATTAGGATCAAGTTTCGCCACACCCAGTTTTCTCTTAATTGTCTGAATCGATCGTTCGAACAACCCACTGCCGCGATGATCTCCGACCGGTGAGAGGATATGTTTAGAACCTCTATTAGAGCAGAACTCTTGCACCAAATTATTCTTAAAAACTGAGCTATGATCTGTTCTGATAGAACGAGGGAAACCGTGAATACGAATATAGAAATCAAGGAATTTAGTAACCTTCTTAGCCAAGTGGTTTTAGAAATTAGGACTGAAGGAAACTTAGAGAACCGATCAATCGCTACTAAAAGAAAGATCTTAGACCACTTTTCATCAAGTATCGGACCAGCAAAATCTAATTGTAACTCCTGATTAGGTCCAGATAGTACAGGCAGAGAATTCGCAGTATTAAAAATTGACGCGGGTACATTCTTACCGAACAGGGTACATTCACGACACTTCTCACACGTCTCGATGATTTGCCGGTTCATAAACGGCCACCAGAGGTATTCGGAGGCAGTCATCATGGCCTCTTGTCCCGGGTGTGATCTGTGAAGGCGAGTGAGCACAGCTTGTCGGAGAGGTTCAGGAATGGCCAGTTTATTGTCAATAACTACACAGTTATTAACCACCGCTGCTGTAGGCCAAAACTGGGCCATATATGCACCAAGCTTGTTGAAGGAGGTAATGTCCTTATTTATGATGGCTCACTTCATGGGGCCGATAAAGCGATCCGCCGCTGTTAATTCTGCCAACAGTTCTGCATCAAAGAGCCCAGGCAAGCCCACAATTTCCTTTTTGGATGAGGATAGGAGAGGTTTACCCCCATTCACCGCTAAGACCCCGATATTCGCGGCC